CGGATGTGTATCGATTACCGGGAGCTGAACAAGGTGACGGTCAAGAACCGCTATCCGTTACCGAGGATCGATGATCTATTCGATCAGTTGCAAGGGGCATCTTGGTTTTCCAAGATTGATTTGAGATCAGGGTACCATCAGGTAAGAGTGCGGGATGAGGACGTCCAGAAGACAGCATTTAGGACGCGGTATGGGCATTACGAGTTCGTGGTGATGCCTTTTGGGCTCACCAATGCCCAGCAGTGTTCATGGACCTCATGAACAGGGTATGCAGGCCGATGCTGGATCGGTCTGTGATTGTATTTATCGACGATATTCTGGTGTATTCGCGGTCTAGAGAGCAGCATGAGGGCATTTGAGGGAGGTTCTTGAGGTACTGAGGTCGGAGAAGCTATATGCAAAATTCTCCAAATGTGACTTCTGGTTACGGGAGGTCCAATTTCTGGGGCACGTTGTAAATAAGGCAGGGATATTGGTTGATCCGGCCAAGGTGGAAGCAGTGATGAGTTGGGAGGCACCGAAGTCACCTTCTGAGATCAGGAGTTTCCTTGGGTTGGCGGGGTACTATCGGAGGTTTATTAGGGACTTCTCCAAGATCGCGGTGCCGCTCACCAGATTGACCCGGAAGGGTGTTACATTTTCATGGGGACCCGAGCAGCAGACTTCCTTCGAGACACTTCGTCAGAGACTGTGCGAAGCCCCAGTATTAGCTCTCCCGGAAGGGATGGAGGACTTTGTCGTATATTGCGACGCATCGATTTCGGGGCTGGGTGCAGTGTTGATGCAGAGGGGCCATGTGATAGCCTATGCATCGAGGCAGCTGAAGCCTCACGAGGCGAGGTATCCCACGCATGACTTAGAGTTGGGGGCGGTAGTGTTCGCCCTCAAAATTTGGCGTCACTACCTGTACGGGGTTCGTTGTACCATATACACGGACCATAAGAGTTTAAAGTATTTGATGGATCAACCCAACCTAAATATGCGTCAGAGGAGATGGTTAGATGTGGTTAAGGATTATGACTGTGAGATCCTGTACCACCCAGGCAAGGCTAATGTGGTAGCCGACGCATTGAGTCGTAGGACGGAGAGCACTCCATTGCGGGACGTATGTTTGAGATTGACGGTGATGACTCCGGTATTAGATGCTATTCGTGGGGCACAGGCCGAGGTTGTGAAATCTGGGATGCAGAAACAGGAGCGGGTCGTCGGGTTGATTTCAGAGTTCGTTATGGATGGACGGAGACTTCTGACGTTTCAGGGTCGGATCTGGGTACCATTCGTGGGCGGTACGCGTGTTACTTTGATGGAGGAGGCACACAGATCGAAATTCTCGATCCATCCCGGTGCTACGAAAATGTATTTGGATTTGAGAAAGGAGTACTGGTGGCCTTGCATGAAGAGAGACGTCGCCTGGTTCGTTGAGAGGTGTTTGACCTGCCGTAGGGTTAAGGCCGAGCACCAGAGACCGCACGGTAAGTTGCAACCCTTGGAGATTCCTGAGTGGAAGTGGGAACAGATCACGATGGATTTCATCACTAAATTGCCGAGAACTGCCAGGGGAGTCGATGCGATTTGGGTGATTGTGGATAGGCTAACAAAGAGTGCACACTTCCTTGCCATTAGCGAAAGTTCATCAGCAGAGAAGTTGGCAGAGTTATACGTGAGAGAGATAGTGTCTCGGCATGGGGTACCGATTTCGATTGTTTCAGATCGCGACGTACGTTTCACTTCCAGGTTCTGGAAGAAATTTCATGAGGAGTTGGGTACTAAACTGCATTTTAGTACCGCATACCATCCCCAGACCGACGGTCAGAGCGAGCGGACGATTCAAACATTGGAAGACATGCTTAGAGCGTGTGTGTTAGACTTCGGGGGTAGCTGGGATGCGCATCTGCCGTTGGCTGAGTTTTCCTACAACAACAGCCATCATTCGAGCATTGGTATGCCACCTTTTGAGTTGTTGTATGGTAGGAGGTGTCGGACTCCCATTTGCTGGGGAGAAGTGGGACAGAGAGTGATGGGCAGTACAGAGATCGTACTTCAAACGACCGAACAGATTCAACAGGTGAGGCAGAGGTTATTGACCGCCCAGAGCCGACAGAAGAGTTACGCGGACAGACGCCGGTCCGAGCTCGAATTCCAGGTTGGCGACTTCGTTCTCCTAAAGGTTTCTCCTTGGAAAGGAGTGATTCGGTTCAGAAAGAGGGGCAAATTGGGGCCTCGGTTCATAGGTCCATTTCGTGTAATTGCAAGGGTAGGTCGGGTAGCGTATCGGTTGGAGTTGCCAGCGGAGCTGAGTCAGATTCACAATACCTTTCACGTATCACAGTTGAGGAAGTGTATAGCCGATGAAGCGGCAGTGGTTCCGTTAGAAGATATTCAGGTGGATGCGAGCCTGAATTACGCCGAGAGACCAGTAGCTATCAGGGATCGGAAGATCAAGGTTCTACGGAACAAGGAGATACCTCTGGTGTTGGTTCAGTGGCAACATCGGAAGGGATCGGAGATGACTTGGGAGCCGGAGAGTGAAATGCGGGAGCAACATCCGGAGTTATTCGCAGAATGAGACTTCGAGGGCGAAGTCTAGTTCTAGTGGGGGAGAGTTGTAACAGCCCGGAATTTCAGGTATTACTTTAAATTATTTGGGGAATATTTAGGGGGGACTCGGCGAGTTGATGCCTGACTCGCCGAGTAGGACCACGGTCTTAGTCACAGATTCGCGACTGGACTCGACGAGTCCATTAGGGACTCGGCGAGTCGACGCTGTTCAGCTGAAACCCTAGCCGTTTTGATTCTGGATCGTATATAATGCCTTTAGGGCCGTCATGTCTCGTCTTTTGGCCGATTGAAGATAACCAAAAAGTCTGTGGGCATCTGGAACAAGGGTGAAGGCTAGTGGAAGCTTGAAGAGGTTGTTAGGCAAGGAGAGGCAAGGTGGTGATCAAAGGAGGATCAAGGGGTCGAGCTCTGAAGGTTGGGGACACAGGGAACACGTTTTCCAGGTAATCCTCGGATCATTTCTGTAGTTTTGGTGTTGTACACGAATCTAGGGTTTAGGAAACCCATTTAAGGATTTGATAGATTATAGTGTTGTTATAAGTGTTTAAATCCCAGTAATAGAATGTGTAAAGGTCCAGGAAGCCCCATATTTATATATTACGGAATCATGCGAATTACAGGAGGCAGTTGATTGACTGCATGGCGAGGACTCGCCGAGTCCAATGATCAGACTCGGCGAGTAGCTTGAAGATTCACTAGGACTCGCCGAGTTGTTCTTCAGACTCGGCGAGTAGCTTGAAGACTTACTGGGACTCGTCGAGTCGTTCTTTAGACTCGGCGAGTGGAGTCGGGGTGTCTAGACTCGCCGAGTTGCCTTTGCACTCGACGAGTCCGGTCAAGTTGACCGTTGACCTGTATGTAATTTAGTAGGGTCAGTTGTCTTGTTTGATAAGATCATTAATAAAGGTATGTGGTATTATAGGGAGCCTGCAGATTAGCGGATCGAGTGCGAGTAGCTCGAAGGGTTTATAGCTTGCATACTACGAGGTGAGTCTTCTCACTATACTTCACCCGGAAGGGTTTGACTGCGTGACCGGAAGGTCGTATGTGTTATATTTATGCTATGTCTAGAGAGGTAGATGCTTTATATGTGATGTATGCTTATATGTGATGTATGCTTATACGGGCCGGAAGGCGAGACTTTATGTGATAGAAAGAACGGTATGATGTATGACTTATGTGTTATGTGTGATATGTTATATGTGTTATGTTTTATACTATTATGGGCCGGAAGGCAAAATACTATGGGCCGGAAGGCAATTTAATACGGGCCGGAAGGCGATATGTTATGGGCCGGAAGGCGATTATGTTACGGGCCGGAAGGCAATGTTATGTGGACCGAAAGGTCCGGGCCGGAAGGCGTATGTGGGTAAGTCGTATACTGGGGAACTCACTAAGCATTTATGCTTACTAGTTGTGTTTATGTTTTTCAGGTACTAGTGATGACCGTGGGAAGGCGCCGGCGTGACACGTACACACTGCCATTGTTGAAGATCTTGGGATTCGTTATTTATATTTTTGCAATAAACTTGGAATAAATTCTTTTGTCGAATAATGATGTTTTATTTTAAATGAAAATTTATTTGAAAATTTGAGCTGTTACACAAAGA